GGGGCTGGCGGCAGCCACCGCCGTGGCCTGGCACCGGGGGAGGGAGCTTGGACTGAGTGCAAGGACTACTCTTGACATGGCAGTCACAACAGTGAAAATCCAGAGTGAAAAGAGACCGCTCATGGATGTCAGTGTTGGTAAAGAGACAGACAATTAGCATACAGCTATGTAGCCCCAGACAGTGTGGTTCAGTGGTCGAGCATTGACCTCTGAACCAGGAGATCATTGGATTGATTTCCTGGTCAGGGCACATGCCTGGGTTGTCGGCTCAATCCCCAGTAGGGGGCGTGCAGGAGGCAGCTGATCACTGTTTCTCTCTCATCATTGATGTTTCTATTTCTCTCTCTCTCTTCCTCTCTCCGAAATCAGTAAAAAACATATATATTTCTAAAACAGATATGTAAAATTTATAGCTTATTCAGTGCTGACAAGTGATATGGGGCAACAAAAATAAGGAAATAAAAGTAGGAGAGAGGGGTACGTTTGAGAAAAGACCCAATGGGAGTGAGGGAGAAGATATTTAATGGGAGAGAGTTCTAGGTAGAAGCAGCAGAAATTATATAAGTCTTGGGGCAGGAGAGTTCATAGAATGTTCCAGAAAAATCAAGAGGCCAGTGTGGTTGGGAGCCAGAAAGAGCTAAAGGGGGAGGGGAGGGCAAAATATGGTAAATTAAGAAGTAAGAGAAGTTATAAGCCTTCGAGTATAGTGCCTTGATGTTGGCTTCTGTTTTGAATGAGATGTTAAACCATTGTAGGGTTTTGAGTTAAAGAGACGATGATCTCACTTAGGATCACTCAGTACAATATATATATAGATAGATACAGGCATATAGACATCAATCTGTTTTCACCTCTATTTATTTATATATGTATGTAGATAGATATAGATTGTATGTTAACCAGGTAAAAACAGCAAGACTGGTTAAAAAGCTATTGTTATAATCTAGAGAAGAGGTGATGGTGGTGTGAATAAGAGAAAGAGCAGAGCATGTGATGATAAGTGATTGGATTCTGGATACATATGAATGTAGATCCAATAGAAGATGCTGAATTTAATGCAGTTATGAAAGAAAGAAGAGTTCGAGATGACTCCAAGGGTTGAGTGTGAGCCAAGAGCAGAATAGCATTGTCTTTAACGTAGATGGCGACCCTGCCAGAGAATCGGTTTGGGGCCGGGGTTATTGATCAGGAACTTAGTTTGGGACATACTGAGTATGAGATTAATTTTCAACAACCAGATCGATATGTTAAATAATTGGACTTACCTGTCTTAAACTCATGGGAAAAACCTTGCTGGAGATGTACATTTGGTCAGTTGAGAGATGAGATTCAAAGGCAAGAAACTGGATGAGAACACCAAGAAACTGAAGGTAAATAGGAAAGAGAAGAGGTCCAAAGACAAAGCTCTGGGGCACTTGAATGTTAAAAGTGAGCAGGATTGTAGGAACCAGCGAATGAGGCTGAGGGTAAATGGGCAGGAGGACACGTGGTCTGTTCTGGAAACCAAGTGAAGAAAGTGTTTGTGGGGAGGAACTGACTCAACTGTAGCAAATGTTTTCGATATGTCGACGTATAACGAAGGCTTAGAAATAGCTGTCGGGTCTAGCTTTGCGAGGCTATTGTCGACCTTGACAAGGACAGTTTCTGTTGACTGGTGAGACCACAAGCCTGAATGGAGTGGGCTCAAGAGAATGGGAGTACAGAAACTGGTGACCCCAAGTGTGGACAACTCTTTCAGGGATTTTTGAGGTAAAGGGAAGGAGTGAAATGGGAAAGTGGAGCCAAGAGAAACTTTTTTTTTTAGTAGGAGAGGTAAACATTAAAATAATTGTATGCTGATGGAAAAATCCAGTCGAGGAGGAGAATTTGATAACAAGGAGGGTATCCTATTGCTACGTGCTTATGATATGATGAGAGGGGATAGGGTCTTTTAGATAAGTTTTTATTGATTTTAGAGAGAGAGGAAGGAAGAGGGATAGAGAGATAGAATCGTCTTGCGGCTGCTTCTGCACACCCTACCGAGGATGGAGCCTGCAACCCTGGCACATGCCCTGACCAGGAATCACAGGGGACCTTTGGTTCATGGGTCAGTGCTCACCCACGGAGCCACACCGGCGGGGGAGGAAATGGGACCTTTTAAAAATATATTTTATTGAGTTTTTACAGAAAGAAGCTAGACCTTATTTAGTTCTAGGGCAGTGATGGCGAACCTTTTGAGCTCGGCGTGTCAGCATTTTGAAAAACCCTAACTTAACTCTGGTGCCGTGTCACATATAGAAATTTTTTGATATTTGCAACCATAGTTGTGTGGCTATTGAAACAGACGATTGTGGTAGAGCTAGCATTGAAAGGGTATGGCATTTAGGAGTTAAATCTTCCTAAAACGAAGGGGAGTCATTCAGGAGTTCCTTGGTGGTCAGTACAGTGAGGAGGAGTAATTGGCACCATAGTCTGAGGACATGAGATGCGATGCCAGAGGCATCGAAGGAGCAGGAAGCGGAATGTATGCCGCCTGCCCTGTTTCTAATCCAGTGGTACCAGTCCTGTGGCAGAGAGGGGGGCCGCTGCCTGAGAGGGTGGGTGGAAGAGGAGGAAGTGTCCGTAGGAGCGAGCCGGGTTCTGTAGATTAAGATGCAAAGGGAGTGTGCAAAGAGAAGAAGGGGATTGTAGGAGGTTTTTGCTAATGACTAATCCTGAATTTCAGAGGAAAGAGCGGGAGGATGTTAGCGGCTGGGATGGGGTCGGGGATAGGGTGAGAGCACTCAGCCAGTAATCAAACCAAAGAGTGATAAGCAAACTCCCCTAATTGGAAATGTGAATAGGTCCTCAGCCAAAGAACACATCCCTACACATCTCCAGCTGACGTGACCCAAACTAGAATGTTCTGGCCCCTCCTTGGAAATGGCATTAGGGAAAGCGCTGTGGGCAATCATTGGAAGAACAGTAAATATGGAGCTTATTTCCTTGAGTATTCCTTGATTTGCCCACTTTGCATCTTATTGCAAACCACAACTGCTTCCCGTGGGACAAGTATATTTTTCATCCCTGCAAATATAATATACTTATATGTATAGTCCATTAACCTAGCCTTAGGATTCGTTTTCAAAACCTAGACACTGAAAATATATTGAGTGCTTGTAGTGCCCAGCCTTTGTAAGCTCCGTGCATGTATGTTGTTGAATCCTCACGGCAGTCCTGTGAGATAGTCACTCCTGGGCTCTGTTGTGTTATTTTTTAGTAGTGAGCAAACAGACTTAGAGCTAAGTTCAATGTCTCGTCCAAGTGGCAAGCCCAGGTAGACGTGTGGAACCCCGAGAGCCTGCTGGGACCACGGGGGTCGCTGTGGGCCAGGAGCCATGGGTGCAGTTGCATTCACATTTGTCCAGATCTGTTCCGCTTATAAACTTGAGAACTCGACAAAGAGGAGCCCTGGGCGCATCCAGATGAAGAAGACGGAGGCCACGTGATTTCTTACAAATCCAGAATAAATTCCCGGAAACTGAGCTGGTGTAGGTGATTTTCTTGCTTACCCTGTGTCGAATACATATTTGAACCAGAGGTTTGAATGGATATAATGCCCATGCTTCTTACAGCTGTACAAATACACTTTGAAAATATAATCAGAGGGAGAAGGTGGGGCCTGTGGGGGGATGTGTGGACATGGGAGGAAGGGCAGGGCAAGAGGAGGGGGAGGAGAGAAGGCTGCCGGCATCTGTTTCTTTCTTTTTATTTTTATCTCATCCCCCTCCTCCCTTTTCATCTCTCCTCCGGAATGAAATATTGGGAGGTATTGAGGTGAATACTAATCACTATCAATCTGTAATATACCCTGGTGGCACTCCGAAACGTAAACCTCTGCTACCATAA